GAGAGAGAGAGAGAGAGAGAGAGAGAGAGAGGGTACGGCGTTTCGAGGGGAAAAGGCCGTTTCGCCGCAGTATTTTGCTCGATCGAGATAGCCCGAAGTCCCCGTTTGCCTCTTTGATATACCGTGCCACCCGACATTTTGCGAATCGTAGCGTTAAATTCGAGGAAGAACCGATATTTCAACGAGAGAAGGAACTTGGCTTCTTTCTCTCGAAAGTGGGCCGAGTTTCGGATCTTTAAATTTTAATTAAATCTTCCCCGAGAAGTCTTTGCCGGAATTCGAGAAATTTCAAGGGGATCCGATTTAAAAGATGGAATTTCGTGCGAGCGTCGTGTTGATGATTGTTTATATATTTTTATTTATCTTTTTCTTTTCGTTTGCATCACGTTCGATAAAAATTTCCTCTTCCATTCTTGTGATATAAATATGTATATATATTTATGCGACGTAAGAAGTAATCAGTGTATATTTACACGATAAGAGAAAAGATTAAACTGATTTCGATTGATGTTAATAATAACAATAATATTTTATTCGATTCGAAGATTCGGGGAAAATGCGGTTTTTCACAAACCGAGACAATTGTTTTCCAACTGAAGAAAATTAGAAAAATTCTTTTTTGTACATATTTATACATTTATCATGTGCGCAATGGACGTAGAATCCTTTTCTTAATTCCTGAAATTTTTTTCCTGACCGTAAAAGACTAGATAATTACAACACATGTTCCCAATATACACGAGAGAATGCACCAGAGCGAAAGTATAATATATGCCACAAGTAAGATCCTGTGACCGAAAGTAGAAGCAGAAACTCGAAACAGAAGAAGGGTACTCGATACTCGTCCTTGCTTGCTTTACGAAACATTCATATCCGCGCGGGGCTAATTATTAGCTCTTGCCTTTCGTTAATATCTCCGCTCGTTTGCTCGTTAATTAACTTGTTCGCGGGAACGTGAACGAATCGCCGAGCTCGAAAAGGGACGCGTCTTTGGTTGGAGAGGGGAGGAGTGGGGGGAGGCGTCACGCTCGAGTTGAAGCGCGTTCAGCCTTCTAAGAAGGTTGTGGAAACAGCGAGAAACCTATGACCGGCTACGTCGCAATTTATCCGGTGACGTTGGTTCGTTAAGTCGATGATAGGCGGTAAAAAGTGCGCGTAGGACGAATACACGACACGATTTCGACACCACCCCGAATAAAACGAATTTACGCGACAACGAGGCCTTCTTCTCTTCTCCACTACACCATAACATCGTTTTTTCTCAACGAGAACGAACTACTACTTAAGGAAAGCGTTTTCGCTGTCCGATATCGATCTCGTCGAGAGAATTAATTTTTACGCGTACGTGCAAGACACGTAATAAATTATTACCGTTTTATTTCTTTGTTATTTCGAAAGTTTTTCTTTTTTAGAAATGTCAGCTTTCCCTTAAACTCGACGATCTTCGAATATTGTTCAACCTTCACGGAGTAGAATTAATAATAATACGAACCACTTAACCATTTATTCGAAAAACTTTATCTTAATATCCTAATAATAACGAGTGACGTGAAACGAGATAGTGAGGTGAAACGAGACGAGTCAATGTCGAAAAAGAAATGTCATAAAAGAATTTAGAAGAACAAAGCGAGACATATATTATTTCTCGCTATATTGGAAGATAAAGAAGTTGATTAGCATTAACCAGAAATTTAAACGACGGGCCGTGAAAAAGTAGCGAGTCGACGTTATCCCGACACGACGATTCACCCCGGCGACGAAAGAGGGTTCAACGACACTCGACTCGACCTAGGTGGCTCGAATTTATTTATACACACGAGGCAAAGGAATTTGGGGTCATCGGTTGGCGATCGACTAGGGTCGTAGGTCGGGCCGAATAGTTGGATCGGCGAGGCTGTTGTCCTCCCGCATCGCGATAATCGAGCGGAAGTTGGCAGCGAGTCGCAGCTGCTGCCCGGAAATGCGGACAGGTAGAGGACGTGGAGGCACGTCCGCCTCCTTCCACGCTACCGGCCACTTTTTCGTCTCCTCCCTCTTATAGGCGGCAGTCACGCGAGAACAAACAAAGAGCCCTCGAACACCGAGGCTCGCGCAAGAAACGCTGCTGCACGCAGCAGCTGCCCCGCGCAAAGAGAGAGAGAGAGAGAGATGGTACGCTTCCACGATGGCATTTCTCGTTCCCTGGCCGAGCCCGCAAGTGTGCACGCAAGGTGCAAAAACGTGCAGAAACGCTATTGAAACCGAGCCAAGCGGATCGAAAAGTTGAAACCGATAGCGGTCGATCCTATTGTGATCGAGGGGACGACCAAAGTTCTTGTATTAATCGCGATTTCATCGTCCTAAACTCTCTCTTTTCCACTCTCCCTCTCTCTTCCCCCCCCTAATTTCGATATTTCTCCTCTACGTAAAAATCGAAAAAAAAAAAAAAACGAAATTTCAACGAACGGTAGCGATTGAAATCGAAATCATCTGTCCAATTTATCCAATTCCAGTTATCGTAATAGATACTTTTCGTTCACACATCGAAACAACAGAATCAACACTCACCGAAGTATCCTCTCCCTCTCGACGATCTCCTCGGTGGTGGGCTGGGCGGGTCCGAGCAACGAGTGGGGCAACGGCGGGTACCTCTGCGACCTCCACAGCATTTCGGACGCGACGGCGGGATGATGATGACCGGGTGGAGGTGCCGGGCTCTGGTAGCCGACCGGTGGAGCGGTCGCGGCGGCCGCCGCCGCCGCCGCGGCCGCGGCAGCGGAACTCGGGCCGGCGGTGGGGGGCGGCTGAGGATGGGCCATGAGCAACGAGGTGTGCTGCACGCTCTGCACGTGCCAGACCCTTGCCGGCGTGGTGGCAGCAGCGGGCGTCGACGAGTTGGTCGCCTCGTCGACGCTGAGCGCGGAACTCCTGCTCCCGCTTCTCTCGTCCCCGGACCCGGCGCTCCTCAACGAGCTTACCCCGCTGTCCGACCCGCTGTCCCCATAAGCGCCGCTCGCCGCTCCGCTACCGGCCACACCTCCGACCGCCCGGATACCGACCGCCGCTGGCACACCGGTGAGCACACCGCTTCCAGGTATACCGGCCCCGGCCTCCACTTCCATGAGGCCGGCTTCATCGCCGCCCCTAGATGCGTGCGACTGCTGTTGCACCTCGAGGAGGCTCGAAGGGGTCAGCTGGTGATGATGCTGCGACTGTTGCTGGTGTTGCGCTTGATGGTGGCCGCTGTTCGCTACCTGATGCTGGTGCAACGGTTGCTGTTGCTGTTGCTGCTGTTGTTGCTGTTGTTGCTGAGAATGGTGATGTATCACGGGACTACCGGTCGAGTAACGTTGCTGTTGATGGTGGTGGTGGGGGGGCGTGTGATGATGATGCTGATGGTATTGTTGAAGGTGATGGTGATGGTGACCAGGTACCGGCGGTGGCGGCTTGTTCAGTCTCTCGGCTAGAATGACAGGGCTCTCGTTGTGCCGATTCCGTTCCTGCTCCCGTTGCTGCTCCAGGAGCAGGCTCTGCCTGCCAGAGCCGCCGCCGCCGCTGCCACTAAGCGGACTCAGCCTCTCCAGCACGGAGCCTGAGTCCTGACTGCTCGACTCCAGCAGCTCGACCACCGATTCGACGCTCGCCGCCCTCGCGCCGCTCACGCTACCCACGCTATCCTCCGTGCCTAGCTCGGTAGTCAGCTCGGTTCTTCGCGAGTCTTCCTCCTCTTCCTGCTCCTGCTCTTCCCGCGCTTCCTGCTCCCGATGATCCTGTCTCCTCCTCCTCCTCCTCCTCCTCCGTTCGCGCTCCTCCGCCGATCCCTCCCCGTCCTCGCGCTCGTCCCCGTCCTCGCTCTCCCCCTCTTCCCCCCCCTCGAGGACGTCTCCTCCTCCTCCTCTCCCTACTACCTTGCTGCCTACAACCTTCGACTCGGTGCTCGCCGATTTCAACAGCGAAGTCGAAGCATCGGGATCGAGGAGCGAGGAGGCGGTGACGACGACGCTGCTGCTGCTGTTGCTGCTGCTGCTGCCCTCGACGACGTTGCTCTCGACGACGGCCACCGACGACGACGACGACGACGACGAGTCGAGCAACGATCCATTCACCAACACCTGCTGCCTCTGCTGATTCTGCTGCCGCTTCTCCCCCTCCCCCTCTTCCCTCGAGCCGCCAACACGCTTCCGACCCGCGTTAAATTGACCCTGTTGAACAATCGAGGAGGTGGTATCGCCTCCAGGATCTACTTTGTTCGGAGGTGGTGGCTCGGGTTCCCTGTCCCTCTCCCTCGACTGGCTCTCCTCGTTCTCCTCTAGTTTCTTCTCGATCCTCTCCTCTCCTCTCCCCTCGTCCTCGTCCTCCTCCTCGTCCTCCTCCTCCTCTTCCTCTCCCCTCCTTTCCTCCTCTTCCGTTTCCTCGGGATCGGACGCGGCCTCCTCCTCGTCGCAACCTCCTCCTCCTCCTCCTCCTCCTCCTCCTCCTCCTCCCTTCCCCCCTTTCCGCTCGGACCTAAGCTTTCTACTACTTCCACCACCGACAGGACTTGTCCTGAGCCTCTTGGTCAGGGGATCGCAACAACGCTCTCCTCCCCCGTCCTCCTCCCCCTCTCCCCCGTCGCCACGGTTCTCCCCCTCGGATCTACCGCCTAACCGTTCCTCCTTCTCGGACGATTTTACGTTGCCCGCCGAGTTCTCGGCGATATCCTCCTCCTCCTCCTCCTCCTCCTCTCCCTCCTCCTCCCCTTCCTCCTCCTCCTCCTCCTCCTCCCCCTCCTCCCCCGCCTCTGTTTTCGTCTCCTGGCAACCGCCGAGCCTCGGCCTTCGTCTTACGGGCCTTTGATTCTCGATCGGGCTCTTCACCACGGTACCGCGTTTCCGGAGCTTGCTCGACGCGGTGTTCGCCTCCTCCAATACGGTCCGTGGTATACGATTGCCGGGCCTGCCCGACGCCGGACCTTTATTCTCCCTGTCCTCGGCCTGCCGCGTGGATGGATTGCTCTCGCCTACCGCTTCCTTCTCTAGCTTCTCGCGGCTCCCGCCACCCTCGCTCACCCGTCTTCGCCGGCTGTTGCGCGCCGAGTTCTTCTCTGAAACAGGAAGAACGGTGTTAGATCAACGATTCTATTTCTTGTAAGAAATTTTTTTTAATTTTAACTTTAATTTTAATTTTTAATTTTGTGAGAAAATTTGCGTGGCGGGGAATTTTATCCGTTGAAAAAATCTGTTTGGACGGGGAGGGTTAGGGTTATTTTATTATATTTATTTTTATTATAGTGTGATAATTTTTGGAAATAATAATCATGGCTCGGATTCTTGATAAGGAGGAGGAGGAGGATAAGGATGTCGGGAATGTCGAGAGGATCGGAGATATCGGCGGGTGAATTTTATGTTATGCGTCGTTCAACGTGTAATCACTTTTATCGATCGAGTAACCGGTGTGTCCCATGTTTACGCGGTAAGTGGAAGGTTGTTCGCGTACCCTTGTTCATCCTTGTCGATTAAGGTCGATCGATTCGACGTAGCCAGTCGCTGTGACGGCCGTAGTGTCACGTAAGCAATTACAGAGGACGAGCATCTATAGCCCCCCCCCTCTCCTCCGTCGACGACACGTTCGATGACTTTTAAGCGTATTTCGAACGTGTGATTATAATGGTAATAGTATGCACATATGTTTGCTCGTAAGCAATAATAGGATTATAGAATTAGGGCATCTCTCCTCGTATTTTCTTTCTTTCTGTTTTGTTCTATGTGTTATAAAATTTTGAAAGAGGGAGGGAGATATATATATATATATATATAAATTTATGATATTCAAAAAATTTTTTCAAACTATTCGTTAATGTCGTTAATGGTTAATTGGTGAATTATTGTATCGAGAGAGAGAGAGATTCTTTTCATCGCATGAAAATCTAATTGAATTATCACGGAAAAATTATTTTTAAAGGAAAATGAAATGAAATTGAAATTCTCTCTCGTTTAAACAAATTCTGTTTGTATTTAATTCATTACAATCAGCGAGGGTCACGGTAGAAGGAATGATAATTATATTTCTGCCATCTCTATTTTCGAAAGATCGGATTTAAAACAAAAAAAAAAAAAAAGAGAGAGAGACTCGAAATTAGAACTGATCCAATGGAAGAGCAGAAACCCATTCGAATCGATCGTCGTTAGAAAGGAAACGAATGGAAGAAAGCAATCGGTGAAACAGCAGTCTTCCTCTATCGAGCAAATAATTCTCCAGGATCGACCTTCGAGAGATTCCACCGACACTGCTTTCATCTCCTTGACCCCGATCGAATCCTCGATATTCGATTCGAGCAAACACTGCATTCGGAAAATTGGCCTCCAGCCCTACTACTACACACTTTCGTGCCAGCTCCACCAACTCTACCACGGACTTTTAGATTGATTCGATGGATGCGGATACCTGTAGAGGGAATTATCCGCTGCAACACGTGAACAATCGCGAAAAACGATTGAAATAATTCTTTTCGTTTTTATAATTTGAAAACTTAGAAACACACGATAATTTTAACGATTCTTTATTCATACGAGAAATAATAAGAGTTCTCTGTTGAAAGATCTTGCTTTTCCAAAAATTATATTTTTCTTATTTATTCAAACTATATCGATTTTTTAGAAAAAAAGATATAGTTTTGTATATATATATCGTGAATAAAATGAAGAAAAATCGTGTAGAATTCATCTGAAACGAGCGAAAAGCCTTGGAACTTTATATCGGATAATATTTACATCGATAATATAATATAACATTTTTTATTTCATTTATTTTCCTCTTTTTTATTATTTTTATTATCATAAAATTGTCCACAATGTGGAAAATAAATTCCTCCTTCTTTTTTCTTTTTTCAAACACGACTCTATATATACATATATATCCGTCATATTGTCAACGCGTAATTAAAATTCATTTGAAAAAAAAAAAAGAAAAAAAAATAAATGTTCCATCTTCGATAGCGATAACGATTCATCATTGGGAAAAAAGTAAGCCAGGGGCGCGATAATCCGTTCGCAAATACGCGACAGAAGGAAGAACGGAAATGGCAACAGTCGGAGGAATCAGCGGTAGAAGGAACGAAGGAAAACGAGGAACACGGGCAGGTGGAGGAGGCAGAAAGGCCACGGGTGAGGGGAGGTCGGGGAAACGAAGGCAGGGGAGAGGGATTTATTACCAAGGATTTACTGTTATTACCCGGAGGGGGAGAAGCACTCGAGCGGCGCGCGGCGTTGCATACGTGTGTGGGGTGGTGCGTTTATCCGATGCACAGACCTCTATATATATATATATGTGTGTGTGTAGCCAGAATATACATGGTCGCGTGCATGTAACGTGGATAAGCTGGATTCGCAAACTCGACGTTCCGCGTCTCCTAGCGACTGCGGTTTGTCCCACCTCGGCCCTCTGCCGCGTATCCATGCATTACGCTCTGCGTAATTGAACAGCGCCAACGTACTTTGCTTTACATTTTAACTCGCCTCCCGCTATTATTCCCGGGACGCCAGGAACAAACTTTATCCGATTATTGTTTCGAATGGGAATAAAAGGAAGAAATAAAAGATCGTTCTCCCATTCGTTTCGGTCGGGAGGATCGAACCAATCTCGTCGTTCTAGGTTAAAATTTTCGATTGTTGGAAAAAAAAATGGAACGACGTTTCGAGAACGATGTTCGATCGATTCTACAAGGATTAATTGTTCATTGAGTATATTGTATCTTAACGTTATGACGTTAGAATGGTGATGTTACGATTTCGTTTTCCGAAATATACTTTGTTTACGTTACGTTACGACTCGTTTCGAAGCAGGTCAATGAAGTTCGAAATGAGAGCTCAGTCGATAATCGATCCGAGCTCGCTCGATTACTATTGAAATTCCAATATGGCGATTTCAATATGGCGCTGTCGTAAAACGAATTGCATCTGTTTGGATTGGCTTCGATAATTCGAAAAGTTGCTCGTGCAACTTGATCAAAGTGTTGTGTATAAAATTGAAAACCACGACTCGTGTCGAGAGTAGAATTCTCAATAGAACAGTGTGAACAAATTTAATGCGGATCGATAATTGCTGTTTTGTTTTCGATAGTGTAGTGTCTATATCGGTTACATACATGAATAAAAATTGATCAAAATTTTCTTTTTGACAATATATTTCAAGAACCTTGAATGTACATATAATTATTTCTGTAATCTCGAATTGATTTGATCGATCGATTTTACGGACAAAAGGAATATCTGTCTTATGAGATTTCTTCCAGTGCATATCTTAATTATTCTTATAATTTGTATGTTTTCCGCCATTTATAATCATCAATCGAATTACAAAAACTAGATCTATAAAAACTGGCTGTACCAAAGAGCAATAAATAATAAATGAACTTATATCCCCAATTATTAAATATTCAGCATAAATTTGAAACGAATTAACAACAAATCTTCGAAAGATTTTTCGCGATTAATAACATTAAATTTAACAAAAACGGATGAATAATTCAATTCGCAAGGGAAGAGTGAAACGAAGAGTCGAATTTTTAACGAACTTCTCTCGTTGGAAAGAAATAGAATTCCTGATGCCGCATGCGCGCTATTGAAAGTCACGTGATACTGCTACGTTTCTAGGATTTCGTTCGTTGGAAAAATAACCGGCGCTCGGACGGGATATGAATTTTCGTCATGGTGAAATTTTTATTTGCGTTTTGGATTTTTCCCTACATCCTTTTGCCGGGGCGCTGCTGCTGGATTTACGTTTCGCCGTGGAATTTTTTTTTTTTTTTTTTTTTTTTCCTTTTTTTTTCTTCTTTTTTTTCCCTCGCTCCCCCCTCCCCTCGGCTAAAAAGTCGAATCCCGGGGCAATGTTTAACCGCGACAGTTCCGGGCAGATTTCATTTCCCGTGTTTGACGGACGATTAACCGACGAGAGAGCACTGTCGATATCCCGTCACGGGTTTTGAATGTGGAATAACCTGATGAAACGCAAACCCTTGGCTTCGCCGACGATTCGATGGCGTTGTGCTTTGGAGGGGAGGGGAGGGGGAACAGAAATTCTATGGAATCGGTATACATAAAGGAAAACATGTTTTTATTAATCAAAGATAAATCAAAATAACAATCGTTTTGTTTTTTTTTTTATCTGAACTTTTACTTACGAAAAATTCTTTCGGAAAATTTGATTAAATTATAGCGTGTTTTAAATAAGAAGGAGTGTAATTCAACTTCGAAGGTTGGTTTTTAATTTTTAATCATTTTTCAGAAGATAAATGTAACTGGTAGAATTTAATAAGAAGAACGAAGATCCATTTCTTAAAGAGGATGTAATTACAACTAATCTTTCAATATTTAAAAGTTAGTCTATATGGAACAGTGAACAAATTCGTACGTTGCTGCAAAAATAAATTTGTCGATTTGTATTCACCGATGCAATCGTTACGACCATCTTTTTTTAAATAATATCATCACGATAGAAAAAAAAAATTAAATCGATTGATCGAGTAATATCGTTTAAATAAATTCTTCTGGTTCTTAATTTTACGAATAAGAAATAGAATATATGTTTTCTTAAAGGAAGAAATCGTGTTTGCAAGAATATTCGAATAACAAATAAATATAATGACGACATTTATTATTGAGAAGAAATGTTAATATCTGACGAGAGAAATAAAAATTCTGATATTTCTCGCCTCTTATCTCTTTAAACGATTCTTATGTTATAGAGAAAGAAATTTGTACTATCTTTAAAATAAGATCAATTTCAATTTCCGCTCAGATAATTGAAGAATTTTCTCCAGACTTGATTTCATACAGGATAAAATTATATAGTGATAGAGTTTGTAGTAGATATTTAAATACTTTATCAAATCCGAATGTATTACAACCGATTCATGAATAATTATATGGGAATTCATTTTGTTAGAAAGTTTGGAATTGATTATATCCATGAATTATCCATATATTCTATTCAACTAATGATTATAGCAGTGCAAGAATTATTAACTTGTATTTTATAATACAATGGTAGTCGATATTACGTCGTGTAATTTTTTGGAAAGTGTATCTTTTATTCTTTGGAATAAAA